AAATTGGGACTGGGCCAGCATGTGGGGGGGGCCTTACCCCCCCATACCCATTCTTGGAGCACAAGAAGAATAACTTCTGCCATTTGTCTTGACTCAATTCTTATGTCCTGAAAACGCTTAAATTCTTGTAAACAAAACAGGGATGTATATAGCATAGATCAACACTTTTGTTTAAAATATGGAAATAAATTATTATGGATTCACAGACAAAAGTCATTAGATAGCTCCACCCCAACTGCGTTGCTAGAGTTCATGAAAGCCCATCTCCAAAACTCTGCCCTGCTCTTATTTTTATACCCATTACTGGCAATTGTGCCACTTGTTTAATTTCCTAAGTATTTTGAGAAATTTAATTATTGCAATTCATCATATTCAGCTTTGTTAACAGAGACAAAACGATTACCTCACCTCTTGCTATATAAGCAAGGCTTCCAAAGTTGTTTTCTAAATGTGTGCTCAGTCACTTCGTCAATGACTGTGTCACACATGCCAGGATGTATTGTGCAAAAGGCTCCAGAGAAACAAAGACGACTTTAGCCAATAGATACGCTGTGATGTAGGCAGAAAAGAAAGAAAAGAAAAAAGAATCTGCTTCTGGGCCCCATTCAAGCTGCTGGTGTGTTGTCCCAGAAAGCCATAAATTGATTGAGCCCTAAATAAATATCAGGTTTGGAACCCACTTTGTAAAGGGGGGCGCTTTGGTTTGGAGCCACGGAATGGCATTGCGTTGCCTCACTTCATTTTCTGATGCTTTGGATGTCTCCCTATTAACTATAATGGAAAACTCAACAAACAGCTATAACTTCTTTTTTTAGTTTTGGCAAGCACCAAGTGCCTATAACTTCTCCAATTCCCCCCCCCCCAAAACTGGATGACGTCTGGGGTAGCGGGAGATGAAGCTTGCCAAATTTCAGATAGATAGGTGCAGCAGGGTGGTTTATGCAAGGACAGCCTTTTAAAGTTCACTTAAAAAAAAAAGGAACATCTTCCATTTTACACCAGTTGCTGGGAATGACAAGAGGTCCTGCCTGTGGGCTACCCATGGGCATCTGATGGACCACTGTGAGAAGAGGATGCTGGACTAGATGGGCTTTGACCTGATGCAGCTGGTTTCTTCCTATGTTCTCCCACCCCTTGCTTTTCTGGACAATCTGTTGTGTATTTTTTTTTGGAGCAATGCTTGGTGCACACTTTACCTTGATGCTGGTAAAGCCCTCAGAGAACCAGCACCCTTCTCTTTTGGGCAGAAAGGGTGTTTCACTCCTACTTGCTCTTTGTTTCAGAGAGAAACCTGGCTCAGCCCTGAGGCTTTCTTTTAAGAGCCATTGTGCTTTGAGCTATCAGCGGCAGTAGGCAACAGCAGCAGTCTTCCACTGGTATCGGTGTCACCCTCCTATTCCACTCTCTGCTCCGAACTGAGGTGCCCAAAGGCACCTAAATCTGCCCTTATTAAGTACAGGTGTGCTTTCTGGTGGAACGGGTAGGGGATGTGACCTGCAACCCTTGGCCTACAAGAGAGCCCATGGCCAGGTTTGGCCGGACTGGTCCTACATTACCTGGAAACATTTAGCTAGTTGCAACCCAGTCATTACCCTATAAACAACTGTGTGTGTGTGTGTGTGTGTGTGTGTGTGTGTGTGTTCAACCACACGTTAACTGGCTCAAAATGACTGGATATAGAATATGGGAGATCAGTCTTCAAAAATCTACCAAAAGTACTTACTTCACAATGAGTGTTTCAAGTCTACATAACAGAAGGCATATAGCATTGATGGAGTTCAAGGGATGTGCGGCTAATCAGTGCCAGGTTGGGAAATCCCAGGGAGCCTCGTGTAAGCAGCTCAGACTTTGTTAAAGATATATTTATTGTTAAAATGTGTATGCCACCATATACCCATAGATCTCAGGGTGATTCACAACATAAATATATACAGCTAGGGAGGTAGAGATGTTCTCACTGCCTTTTCCATGACTTGCAAACATTGGAACATTTTTTAAGAAGCATTGTAATACCTTCCTTTTCAGGCAGGAGCAGCCAGGCATGGGGAACCACCATAGAGTCTGCCTCCCCACAGCAGAGTCATTGGTACTCATTGGGAGGGTGCAAAGCAGAGTGGTGTTGGATTGGTGCAGGCCCACCAGCAGGCTGCAGCAATACTGCTTAGGCCTGCTGAAGGACACCATGAAGAGGCACATGAGAAGAAAAGCGAATTGAAACGGACTTAAATCCATGTGTCCTTATTTGTGGCACAGGCTGTGAAGCACTAGACAGACTGACTTAGTCCACCCACCACCTGGATCCCTCCTGAAGTGAACAACTTGCATGTGTCAGAGAAAATTATCTTACAAAAGCCAGCAATGATGCCACAAAAAAGAAAGAAAACACAAATTGCAGTACATTTTCTATTAGGAAAATTGCTTTATTTAAATTTATCATCTTTGTAGAAGCCATCATTGCTGTGTTTGAGGAAATACTGGATAACATTTGATCTCAATTAAATTATCTCTCTTCCATTTTTGGCAAGATGACTCACTGGATAAAAACGTCATTTCTATCCATTTGCTCTTTTAATCATTCTAACTTACAATATATTTGGAGTCTGGCATGGCTAATCCATCCATTTTACTGAATGGAGCGATTTGGTCTTTCAAAGAGAATGCTTATTCGTGTGGTGTGTGTATATATATATATATATATATATATATATATATATATATATTTGTGGGAATAAAGAATCACATTCTTAGCAAATAGGGGTCATATAGGTGACTGAACATATTTCCTACACCGTACTGGAGGACTTTACAGAGAACCCATAGAGGTGATCAAATTATTCCAGGACCAGTTCTCGTCCCAAGCTAGCTGGGTTCTTTGAAGGCCAAACCAGGCAAGATTTCTCCCATGCAATTAGCAGCTGCACGAATAGCTTTTAAAAAGCAAATAGCAGCTGCAAGACAGCAGCAGTCAAATCAAATGCTTTAACTCTTTGGCACCTGCTGAGGTTCCACCTTGGATAAAGTGCTGCCCCCTCAACTATTTTCATTGAAAAAAAAGCTCCCATTTGCACCACTGGAAGCAAATTGCAGGTGAGGGGGAGAATGATCTCAATCAGGCCTGCAGCAAGGACATAGGGTTAAGCCCCTTCTTTTCCTCCCACCAGCATCCCAGTCTGGATTGGGGGCTCCGTGCCTACTGTATATTTTTACAAACCATTCACATAGTTGCTACCACATATGTGGTAGAATGAGTATTTCTAGCTACCCAGGACCTGACCCAGCAAATTACCTCCTTTCTTGCAAAATACGTCAGCATTACATAAGAACAAAAGGACAGCCTGCTGAATCAGGCCAATTGCCCGTGTGAAACCAGCAAGCAAGCCCTGATCACCAGAGAATTCGCCCCTCCTGCATCTCTCAGTAACTATTCAGAAGCATCACTACAGTGGTACCTCGGGTTACAGGTGCTTCAGGTTACAGACTCCGCTAACCCAGAAATATTACCTCAGGTTAAGAACTTTGCTTCAGGATGAGAACAGAAATCGCACAGCAGCAGCACAGCAGCAGCAGGAGGCCCTATTAGTTAAGTGGTACCTCAGGTTAAGAACAGTTTCAGGTTAAGAACAGACCTCCAGAACGAATTAAGTTCTTAACCCAAGGTACCACTGTACCTCTGACCATGGAGGCAGATCAGAGATATTTGGCTAGTAGCCACTGAAAGGCTTATTCTTCATGAATTCCTATAATCCTCTTTTAAAGCCATCTAAGTTGGTGGTCATCAGTGTCATGAACCACTTGTTCTAACTCTAAATATCTCTATATAACTCAAAATATCTCCAGATTTCTGTGGCCCTCGAGAAATTCCTAGATTCCAGCTCCCATCGGCCCCAGCCAGCATGGAAACCACAGGGTGGCAGAGTGCTCTAATGCTCAGGTCCTACTTATGGGTTTCCCATGGGTATCTGATTGACTACTATGAGAACAGAATGGGTCTGATCCAGCAGACCCGTCTTATACTATGTTCTTATGGCCATTGGCTGGGCATGAAGGCAGTTCCAGGCCATAACAATCTGAAGGGCGGCAGGTTCTCTATCCCTGATCTAAAGGATAGTTTGCACTGTGGTAGTGTAATATTTCACACACAGTGTCATGGAGCTTTATAGCAGCAGGGCAGACCACTGCTCAAAAGAAACATGGATGCTGTTTTACTTTTTCATAGCTATACAGCCATAGTAATTTCTCTCATTCCATTTACAGTGCTTCATTTAAAAAAAGAAAGAAGTGGGGCCTTTAAGGAAGAGAATAATTCCAGAGCTGCTGGCTTGATGATTGCCAGCAGAGATTGTAAACTGCTGGCTTCTTGAGCCAGAGTGCAAGAATAGTTGTTAATTAAGCTTCCGTAGCATTGACGTCAATGACAGTCATTCATTAAGCTTCAGTGGGGTTTTGAATCAGCTTTGTTCAGACTTGTGGGGTTTTGCTGGAACTCGCTGGTACTCATTTGAGCTACTTTTTGAGCCCAGAACTATATGCTCTAACACAGGCGGATGAGTTGCCAGAACCATTTGCATCAAAACTTTTAAAGGATTATAAAGACTTGCAGATAACATATAACAGGTTAGAAAGAGAGAATTGTATACATCTTAAATATACAATTTGGAATGGAAGCTTAGAGGAAGGTCCTATCCACTCCCAAACTATCACAGTTTTGCTAGAGCATATCCCCATTTTTTAAAGAAAGGCTGTTTCAAGGAATATTTTTACATGGTGTCTGAAATCTTTGCAGAGTTACAGCTGATTGTCACATGTTCTCTAAACCTGCCATGTGGGGTGTTATTACACAGAAGTGGGATTTGGTGACGTCCATCAAGGAGTTGCAACACAGTAGACACATCACTTAGCCATGGCCCTGAAAACATTGCTCTGAAGAAAATGTGAGCCTCGGGTTGAAAAAGGTTTCCCCACCCCATTCTATAGCAATATATAAATGTGTATTCACTTACCTGGTCTCGGGAATAGGGACTATCCACTCTCTGTTTGTCACCACAAGCTGCTATGAGAATATTCATTGCATCCAGCTGAAGCAACATCTCACAGGCTATTGTATCAAAAAAAGTAATGTTGGCAAGTGCAGCTGAAGCCAGCAGGAAAACCTCTCCAGAGGTGGCCTCTTGGCACAGTTCTAGATATATACACAAAACAATGTGATGAAAATATTAAATGAGAACCACTGGATTATCCAAACAAACTTCTGCTAATGTTTACTAAACTAGCTAGGAGGGTCAGGTCCAGATTTTCTTTTAGCTTTGCTTTGCATTCCCCTAACCTTTTAGTTTCCACCTTGGTAACCTGATTTACCCTCCGGTGAAACTCAAAACATGCATATGTGTACAGCTAATCACTTCTCTCAGTTTACTTTGTGTGTTTGAAATTGAAACTGGCCACTCAGCTTTCGTGCAATACTGGTAAGGATGAAATCAAGAGAAAGTTAAATCAAAATGCGCTTAAATCAGGAGTAGCCTAAGTGGTGTTCTCTAGACTAGTGGACAACAACTCCCATCATCCCTGACTGTTGGCCATGCTGGCTGGGCTGATAGAAGTTGCAATTCAGTACCACATAGAACAGAGTTTCCCAAACTTGGGTCTCCCTCTGTTGTTGGACTACAACTCTCAACATCCCTAGCTAGCAGAACCAGTGGTCAGGGATGATGGGAATTGTAGTCCAAAAACATCTGGAGACCCAAGTTTGGAAGCCCTGATCTAGAAGGTAACACATTCCCTACCCCTGCATCAAATGCTTGTCTGTGCCTGTAAGTCGCACTGGTTTCTGTGGAACTTACCTTTACCTGTGGACTGCATCCTTACACTCCAGTCCAATGAGGGTTTCTTTTATGGCTACAGAGTTTCCCTTCAACAATTTACATTTTCTTTTTCAATAGAGAGGCCTGATCTATGTCCACAAAATGTGCAAGCTGATGGAGTCCCCCAATTAAAACAAACGGAAAAGCCTGAATAGTCAGGAGCTCCATGCTTGTTGCGTGTTGAGTCCCACAAGGCCACCCCCACCAAATAATTCACACTTCACACATCAATTTTGTTTAAGGTTTTTGGCATGATTTTGGCCACAACTTTATTAAAATACAAATACGTGAGTGGTTGCTTAGGCATTGGTTATGACTATCTGTCCTTGCCCAGGGACAGAGCTGGCCTTCCGGATTCCAGCGGAAGCCAGCGTGGGAAACAAGTATTGGGTGAGAAAGTGAAGCTGGGTAACAGTCCCACACCTCTCACCCTCATGTTCCTGTGGGGCTTGCACGGCCCAAGTCCGACTCCGGGGACAAGGACGAAAAGAATGGCAAGCCCCTGGATTCCTTTAACGGAATTCCCTTTCCGCACCACCATTGGAGGGGTAGGCACTTACCCCTCCACCAACCAATTTTAACCAATGCCTAACCGCCAATGGAGCCCTACGCTCACCGCCAAACCACTCACGAACCCAGCCAAGACTTCAGCTTAGACACCACAGCACCCAGCCACGCCTTATTCCCTAAGGCAGAAAGGTGCACCCGATCACCCCTGAAAAGAGATTCATCCTTAGCCAGAATCTCGGGATGGGAAATCACATCACCTCCCATCTCAAAAACCTTTTTTGAGACAGCCGAATTGATCCACTTCCTGGCCCTTTCAGTGGCAGTTGGGCAACGACTGCCTCTCCAACTGCGCCTCTGCAAAAACTTCGGCCAAAAAATTTTTGCTGCCGGCACCATTGCTCGCAGCACCTCAAGGTCACCCAGGATTGCGGCACGTAACGAAGCACAGTCCATGGAAACCAGTTCGTTCTCGCCCAGCTGCACCACGATGGCCGTGGGCGGCCCATCCACGGCCAACTGCCTCCGAATCAGCGGCAGAAACTCAGTCCAGGACATTCCCCTTCTGGCCAGCCAAGATACGTGCACGTGAGGAGGAAGGCCGAGACCTGGACCCAATCCGAACTGCCTGGCTCCGACGCCGGCCCAATGAACGATACTGTGCCCCACCATCCATATGCGTACGGCTGCTAGACCTGGGATGAACAAGTAAATATAAAATATAACATGTTAGCGAACATAGCCTCTAAATGTGTCCGACTTCCAGCGACCCAAATTTTTTATCCTGCCGGCAGACAAGCCCCAATGCGCAGCCGTTGTGGCCGCCCCGATCCTAAAAGAATGTGGGGCAAAACCACTAGGAGAATCACCACAAGCCACAATGGCTTTCCGCATCACCATTGCAAACTGGCGCCTAGATAGGGGCGACCCATCTTCATGCTTCAACATTGGACCTTCCCCTGGAACACGGACGGCCAAGTACCTTCTAACATCTTTGACCGGACACGGTCCCGCTTCCCCTGTGGCAGGGAGACGAATAAGGGCTCCCTTTCCCCTCTGATCTGTCTTTGAGTTCCTAATCATGAGCCTCAGCTCAGCCGGGGATAACAGTACATCCCGAAGCAATAATCCCCTAGAATGACCATGTTCGTGCTCCTCCCACACGAGCTCACCAACCCTTAGAGCCCCGAAGAATGCAATAGAAAAGGCTGCGGAGAAAAGGCGAGCCTCATACCTGGACCAGCAAACCTTACGTAACTCTTTGCGCATCTTGCACAGCAAATCGTATGAGATAGGGTGCCGAGTAGCTGGCTGGGAAGGACAGAGCCTACCCCACCCCTCAAGGGCCTTACGCACGACAAACTTCGCGCAAGGATCTTTGTTGAAATAAGCTTTAGAGAAAAAGGCAATGGCAGCTGCCTGAATCCTTAACGTCTTAGCTGCACGTCCCAACTGAAAGAGGTGCGCCAAATATCTTAGCACCTGCGAAGCAGAGGGGGAAGCCAACCTCTGCTCCCTGACTGACTGATGTGTAAAGGACAAGAAATCAGTCCAAGCTTTTGTGTATGACCTGAGAGTAGAAGGGGAAATAGAAGCCGTTACTCCCTGAAAAACTAGCTCCTGCCAAGGCTCCAGAGATGATCCGGGAAATATTCCGGACGTTTTCGAGCCTCTGGAACCAGAAGTCTGAACCGCTCCATCTGAAAACGGGACAGAGCATCGGCAATTTCGTTAGACACCCCCGGAACGGAACGAGCAGAAAACACTATGTTATAACGTAAACAATGTAAAACAAAAGCCCGCAAAAGGGCTGACACCCTAGGAGAGCGGGACGACAGCTTGGCCAGCACGTTCACCACCGCTTGGTTATTGGTCCAGAAGCAGACACGTCGGTCCCTGAACTCTTCGACCCACAAGTGCACTGCCACTGCAATGGGAAAGAACTCAAGAAAAGTTAGGTCCCGCGTAATGGCTGCTCCCTGCCAGTCAAGAGGCCAACGTTTGGCACACCACCTGCCCATCCAGTATAAGCCAAAACCTTGGGACCCTGCAGCATCTGAATGCACTTGAAAATCGTTGTGCAAGTTAAGCGTGTCTTGCCATAACGATACCCCATTGAATTCCTCCAAGAATTCAAGCCAGATACTAAGATCAGCCTTCACCTCCCTAGATAGACGAACACGATGATGAGGGGCCTTCAAACCCACCGTGAGGCGAGCCAAACGGGAGCAAAAGGGGCGACCAGGGGCCACCACTCTGCACGCAAAATTCAGGTGACCTAACAGCGACTGGAGTTGAAGTAAGGACACCTTCTTTAAAGGAAGCAATTGACACCGTATCCAAGAGGATACCCAAGTAAATGAGCCGAGTCGAAGGACCCTCAGTCTTTTCTGCCGCTAATGGGACCCCCAATTCCTCAGTGAGGTCAGCTAATGCGCGTAACAACACTGAGCAATTGTCAGTATTACGATCTGAAGCCAATAAAAAATCATCCAAATAATGAGTAACCCCTACCAGCCCGGTTTTCACCTTGAGGGCCCACTCCAAAAAGGTGCTGAAAGATTCAAAAGCAGCACACACAATCGAACAGCCCATGGGCATGGCCTTGTCAAAATAATATTTTCCCTCAAACTGGAAACCGAGCAGCCAGAAATCCTCCGGATGAATCGGCAGCAAACGAAATGCCGACTCTATATCGCATTTTGCCAGTAAAGCAGCCCGTCCAAATTTCCGAATCATCTTGATCGCATGATCAAGGGAGGCATACTTTACTGAGCAAAGCTCCTGAGGAATCACATCGTTAACTGAAGTGCCCCTAGGATGCGATAAATTATGAATCAAACGGAATTCACCAGGGGCCTTCTTTGGCACGATACCCAGAGGGGATACATGCAAATTAGGAAATGGAGGGGCACTAAAAGGACCAGCTATCCGGTGCATAGCCACCTCTTTTGTAATCTTTTTCCGGGCAATTTCGGGCAATTCACGAACCGATTTCTGATTAGACGCATTCCTCGCTACAGGAGGCATGGTTACTGGAATCCGAAAACCAACAGAAAAACCATCGCTGAGGTAACGTGCGGCCTCCCTATCTGGGTAATCCCGAAGCCACTTTTGAAGGGCCGGCAAACGCACGGGAGTCTGGGCCAAGGAAGTAAGTAGCTTATTTTGCTGTTCCAGAGGTAGAGGGGGTGGAGGGGACTGACTTGGGGGGTTGCTGAGAACCCCCCTTCCTCCACGAAAGGGCCGCCGTCCACCAAAGCAAGAGGAAGCAGGATGCAATCCATTGCATTTTTCACAAGTGTGCGCAAATCTACAGGTTGGACGCTGACATGAGGCCCTGTTAAAATCCCAACATGGCAGTCGACGGCCAGGTCTAAAAGCAGAGATACCCGATTTCTGCTGCTCCGGCACTTTTTTGTCAATAAGTGGAGCAACGTAAGTAGTCCACACATCGAGATCTTTGCGATCCCAGCGTGCAGAAGGAATCTTAGCCGCTCGACGCCTGAAATTCTCATCATATTTTATCGCAGCTTTTTCTCCAGCCTTGGTGAATGCAGAACGCACTATAGATAGATAAACTAACAAATGAAGGGACCTACGCGGGTAAGCTGCCATAACTATACCAGCAAAGACCTGAAAACAATCGAGCCAATGCTCGAAAGTCCTGCCCGCCGCAGAAACCCCTGAGCGCTTTTTGGTTGAAGCACTTCCTTTCTCATGCTCCTCGGAAGGTGGGGCTAATTTAAACATGTCTACGTAACGTCCATTTAAAATCCTGGACCGCAATTTCGATGACAAATGTGAGCCTGGAATGATGTCCCTGGCCGAATTGGTTGAGACTTTAATGTCAGGAACCAACACGCCATCCCTGCATTCCTGAACAGCTCCATATTTCGCCCGATGAGTGTTGGACCTCCGTTCCCAAGCCCACCGAGGGAGCCCCGAAACCGATTCGCCAAAACCCCAATAAAGTTCCATGTAATTACCCTCATCATCGGAGCTAGAGGAAGACGTACCCGAAAGAGAGGAAGAAGAGTCGTCCTTCCTGCGCTTTGCACGCTTCCGGGATGCCTTCTTGCGGCGACGCTTCCCTCCCAACGACTTCCTGGCAGGGACCGGGAGACTGTCTTCGATAGAGGACTCCGAATCGGGATCCTGCTGAGATGGAACTGAAACAGACTGCATAGAGACGACACGTGAGATACCAGAACCCGATGCCACATCCGCTGGAGACCGAGCAGGCGTGCGCCGGCGAGTGGACACAGCCAATGGGGCACTTTTTTCGGTGGCCCGCCTGGTAAGGCGGCCCGACCTACAAGGCTGGCTCCGCATTGCAGGTAAGTCAGGGGACTGGGATAACTGTGGGTTCACCATTAAACCCTGCTGCGACGTTCCCTCTCCCCCATCCTCGCTAGATGACGGCGAAGCCGGAGATGCCACCATTGTTGAAGAGGGCGGCCTTCCAGATGTGGACGGTTGAGCGGAACGATGCTGCAAGAAAACGTCCAAATCCGCAGCGAAGCGAGATAGAGCCGCAGGGTCACCAGCCATGCTTGCTACCAACGATTGCACTCGCCCCACCGGTTGGTTAGAAGAGGGTGAGCGAAGCGCCTGGGATGGGCCTCTAATAGGCCGCTTTGAAGCGATGGCAGAGCTGGAGCGAGCAGCAGCTTTCTTCGGAGCCATACCTGCTAGCAGG